TCAGAGATCCAGGTTCTGGCGGGCCGCAGAACCGCTGTTAGCCAGTCTAACGTCTTGAGAAGCGGAGAGGGACGACGGTTCTATTCCATGTCCAGTATGTGTTTTTAAAAAACCCTGTTAGCTTGGATATTTTCTTCATCGCGCTCCTTTTCTTTCGCTCCTGCGCTCCGCTGTCATTCATTCTGTTGTCCGCCATCTTGAGAAATCCCTCCCCGAAGTTCCGCCCCAAAGCCTCAGAAGCGTCCAACTTGGACCAATAATAACCAAGCATTCATGATGGACGTTTGCCAGAACAAATGAGACATTATTTCAACAGCACTGCCAAAATCCTCTTGGCCAGAGATAAAATTCGGGGCCCCCGAAGAGCCAGGGCCCCGGGCTGCAGCCCCGGTAAGCCCGTGCTAAAATCCGGGCTTGTGGCGTTTATGTGGTCAAACATACAGAGGAAATAAATGTAGAAAAAAGTGTTATGATTATTCTTTGCTGACTAATTCAAGGAATCAGTTGAAGTTAAAACACTAAAGCATGCATAATGATTTTGATTTTCAAAAGGTGCTTTTGATCTGAAAAACCAAACTAATCGGGCAGATTTCATTGCTCAATATGACATAATAATACAAATGTGTTGTCTCTTCATAAATACTATTACTGGTAATACTGTCATATCAATCAGCACTCATAATCCAAGGTGTACAACAAATGCTTGATGCGATTTAACCACGTAGCATTAAAAAGAAAAACATTAAAATCGCAGGAATGTCTAAGTCATTAGATGCCGAAGATTAAAAAAAAAACCAAAAATGCGTGTTTACCTCAAACATTTGCACACCTCTCTTTGCACACACGAGTAAATCCTTGTTACGGAAAAGGATTTATCTCATGCATGCTCTGCTCTGCACCTTCATCACGGATGTCAAAACATAAGCCTGTCTTAAGCACTCGGATTTTCACAAATGGCATAAATCTTCCCGCATTAATCGGATCGGCCACATCAGTTATAACCTGAGCAGAACAGCTTAAGCTGCAGTAAATACACCTTCTGAATGTGTGTGTGTGTGTGTGTGTGTGTGCGCATGCGTGTGTTTGTGTGTGTGTAGTAGTAGTAGTAGTAGTAGTTGTCTGTCCTGCTTATGTGGAGCTCGTAAAGAGTCGGAGGAGTGTTGCAACAGGTTTGGCCGAGGCTCCCCTAAACAAACAGTCCACACCTGTCTTCCGCTCCTTCCTCAGTGTAAACAGAGTTTTGTTTTTTTTTTTCTCTCCTTTTTTCCCTTTCTCACAGATACACAAGGCTTCTGTTAAACTGCCACGACAACAGGAGCTGACTTGAAACACGACGCCGCGCTTCCAGCGGTGTGAATGGTATTTTTAATGTCCTTTGCAGCTCTGGTCTTCCCCACCGGTCACACCCTCGCTCTGTTCTCGTAGTTTATCTCCAGCGGTTTGTTTCTAAAAGTTTGGTTCCCCCCCGCCCACATGCTGCAGCCTGGCCCTTTTCAAGCCAATTCTATACGACGGGGTGGGTGTGTGGAGATGAATAGGGGCCATAAAGTTTATTCAAAGGGGGGAAAATTGAAACTGGGCTAAAAAATAATCCAGTTAAGAATGGAAAATAGTCTAATCTTTTGAAAAGATTATAAACTGAAGATTGGGATACCATTGGCATCTCACAGCGGACGTGTGTCACTTTAGCCGTAATGAGCCGTCAGCTCTGGATGTACAGGTCAAAGCTCAGGGCAAGAGGCGGCGTCCCTTATTTCCAAGAGAAGAGTATGAATACCGCTTCTTTACTGTTGGCTGGAAATTCTGCATGTTCGTTCATGACGCTGAGGATCCAGACAACCAAAGCCAAATCGACGTGTTGTTTTATGAGTCAACGGAAGTGAAAGTCGTGAAAAACAATCTGTCCTTTTGTAAGGTCGTATTTATCACACGTTGGCTTTGTTTGCATGAAGGTGCTGTTGCATCACCTCCATGTCACTGACGGAGAGAGACGGATTGGTTGAGTCAACCTTGGCTGGTTGATGGATGCATAAGTTTGCACTCTGAGTGGGCCTCTGTTTGGGAGAAGACTTGTGATGAAATGTTTGCCTCTTTCCTGCGTCTTACTTCCTCGGAGAAGGTTTCTGCAAATATGCTCGTACTGCGGAGCGATGATTGATTACCGAGTACATTTGTTCAGGTTTTTGGCATGAGAATCGAACTTTTATTCTGTGAACTCTAAATCTTTAGATTTGGAAAAATATAGACCTTAATCGTCCTCTATAAAAACTTAATTGGCACTTATAATGTGAGCTGTCAGTGAGTCAACTGAGGGCTAAAAGCAGGTCAACAGAGATTAAATAGTGTGCATAGGAATAAATTACTAATGAACTAAACTGTTGTTACACAATTTTCTTGCCACAGATGTATCTAGGTATTGGTTTTTACCTCGGTTGAAATTGTGTGACGTTTACCTGACCCATGTCAAATTGATTAAAATACAGTTATTCCTGATTCTCACCAAGTGAATTCAAACTTTTGAAATAGAGGCATTATAAAAAGAAAACATCTCTAAAACATTCTCGCTAAGTTTTCTTGCATTCAGCAAGTGTGAATAATTCTAAGAAAATCTAAAACAAGACAAATTTGGTCTGATCTAACTTCAGGCAGTGAGAAAAAGCAAGTGTATGTGTGTGCTTTTATTTGGGTTATGTAAACATCGAGTTTCAGCTGTATGTCACCTATGGCGGGTCTTGTTTGTAACGAGCAAATACATCGGGAAGGATGGTGCAAAACATTCATCAGTAACTGCCACTGTTGCCGTGGCGACAAATCGTTTTTGATGGCCATCGGTTGAGTTGAAGATGAAAAACGACAACCGTGAATGGAAAAGATGCAAGGCGGCGGGCGATCTTTTCATAAACTCCCAGTAAATTCGGTATAAAATCACACCACGTCACAATGCCATTTGTCTTCTCAGACTCTACATGCCTCTGATATCATGAGAAACGACAACAAACCAAACACGCATAGGAACAAAACGTCTGCAAAACATAGGTTTGCAAAATCACCTCCAAACAACCTCCAAGTCTTCTGGAATACATTTTCTTGCACAAATCAAACAATGTAGACATGTTTGGCCATAATTCCTAGCGCTATGTTTGGAAAAAGCCAAACATAGTTTATCAACACAATTTTTGCAGTCATTATAGTGGGCAATGGGAGATTTGGGGGGTAATCCGGGATTGTCTTGGAGGCACAAGACGTGAGTATCTTGTAATAATTACCTGTACTGTTGTTCAGTAAATCATGAAAGGGTGGAATCTGTTGTCTGTTTTTGTAAAGATGAGTTCATATTTCAATCACTTTAGAATCTATTTTATTATATCCTAACGCATAAGGACCTGGAATTTACCTTGTGCAATAACCCATCAGATTGCAGACACATGGAGGACAGTAAACTCCCTGGCGGCGGCACAAACGACAGCATACATCCCTCAGTTTGGTTTCCCAATTTGGATAAACATCAGTTTAGCACACCTCAAATTCCTCTTCACTGAAAGATGTCAGATCATGCAATCTTTGTACTTATGGCAGGGATGAAGGGATCACCCTAATGGCTGAGGATGTACTTTAAAGGGGGCGGTTCAGAATCTCTGAAGCGGGATTTCGTGACCAGGCTGGTGAGCCATTTTGTAAAAAGACAGGGGGGCTAAAGGTTTGTTGATGAGGAAACCTCGTAGAGGCACATCCCAAAAGGCTTACAGCTGCAGCGGCGATTCTTCTTCAAGGTATTGACTTGGTAGGTTGAATACAAATGCAATCCACACTTTTCAGGTTTTATTTCTGAAAAAAGAAAAAGTGAAACCAAACAACATAATTTTCCTTCTGATTCACAAAGAAATCAGAAGGGTAGAGTTAGGGGTTAGGGTTAGGGGTTAGGATTAGGGGATTAGGGTCGTGATGTGTTCAAAGTTCATCACGCTTTCCTTGTCTATCACCCTCTTGCTTTCAACCAACTGAAATAAAAAAAATAATAATAAAGTGTTTTTGAAACTGGAGTTGTGTTAGGATAGTTTGGAGAGTTTATTCAAGATTTATACTAAATCATACAAAGAGATAATCCATCATCGATTAGATAATAACAACTTATAACATTTTAATTAAACTATAAAACTTTAGAACTGTCCCTTTAAATGCTCCCACACACAGTTTCAGAGTGTGCCTATGAGTGATTTAAGCAAAGTTCAGGTGCACTGTGTGTGTTTTTTGGTGAAATTTTGTCTTATTGATAAATTTGTGTGTGTGTGTGTGTGCACGTGAAGTCGCCGCAGCCAAAAAAATGGGCTCTGGATTTTATTATTATAATCATTCTCAACAACTCTATGATAAAATCATGGAAATTTTCTCCCTCCTGGGAACACTCTGTCTGCCTTTCGTGTTTTTGTTTTCCACGTCTCATTCGTGTCTAGAAGCATTTTTATAAAGTGGACTGAGGGGAAATTCCTTCACACACACACACACGCACGCACACACGCACGCGCACACACACACACACTCCCCCACCTCCAGCATTAATGTGGCATGGACCAGCAGCTGAGCATATTTATTTTACTTTTCACAAAGCAGACAGAGGTAAGTCTTTGGAAAAAAAAAAAAAAAGGGACATTAAAGCATCAAAAATATTATTCTCACTCGCACATAAATAAACAGACGCCCCAAAGCCGAGGCCTGTTTCGGAATGTAGTAATTCCGAGTTTTTATGAATGACTCCATTCATGGCTGGCCACGCCCACACCCCCCTCTCACCCCCTCCCTCCACCCCAAAACACCCAGCTTTTGGAACCGAAGCCTTCGCGGGGCTCCGCCCCTTTCACCTTGTAAGGACAACCGCCGCGCGCTGATTGGTCAGAGCAACCGAGAGTGGGGAAGGTGGGGGGGGTCACCCGGGGAAGCACGGGCGCGATATAAAAACAAGACTCAGAGCGTGAAAAGACGTCATAAACTCGCGAGTGATGGAGGACACCTGAGGATGAATCTGGGGTTTGGATATTATCGACGCGGCCAAGAAGCTGGATGCGGGATTGAATCTTTGCGCCGTGAAGTGTTTTTAAAAGCAACTTGTCGTCTATGAGCATCACCTGACTGACAGCATGGGGATACAGCTGCTGTTTGCCGCGTTGGGACTGGGGATCGTCGCTGTGGTGAGTTGCTGCAGATAGTTTCTTGTCTTTATTTCTGTTGCTTCTGCTGCAGAGCTGCTGCTGGGGAGGGACAGGTCTGCAGACCTGCTGCTGGGGAGGGACAGGTCTGCAGAGCTGCTGCTGGGGAGGGACAGGTCTGCAGACCTGCTCCTGGGGAGGGACAGGTCTGCAGAGCTGCTGCTGGGGAGGGACAGTTCTGCAGAAGAAAAAGCTGCTGCCTCCTGTCAGCACCGACGGTGAAAGTGCAACTGTTCAAATGAGCTTCAAAAGCACAACGCATGGTGGTAAATTACAGCCAGCCTGTTCCAAGTAAACCACGGGCTTTGATTTATTTTTTTAGGGGGGGGGGGGGGGGGGAGTTACAAGTAGCCCACCACCCACTCGTCACCAAAGCAACGTCATCTCATCATTTGTGCAAAGTCAATTTAACATTAGTTAGTTTGATGTACGGCAATCAGATGAGTCACTTATGATTGTTTATTCAATCAACAGTAGATGGAAGTTTTGGGTATTTCAAAAAAAAAAAAAAATATATATATATATATATATATATATATATATATATATAATATATATATATATATATATATATATATATATATATTTGTGTGTGCATCAACTGCAGAGATGACTACTTATTTAGTTCAGTTTAGGCAATTTTGAGTTGCACTGTGCAAAACATGTAACGACTTTATTTGCTGCCTTCAGTTGTGATTGTAAACACAGGTGCCGCTCAGGCACAAGAGTGGACATGCACTTGATGCAACCTATTTGGGCGCCACCAGGAGGGGCGCCAGAACAAAACGATGGAATAATTCTTTCTAGTCCGCATTCTCTCTGTGTAACATTTTTGGTGTTTCTGATTTGTCTGCGTACACCTGTGAAAGTACCACCCTGCACCAATACCGCTACATCATGAGCATTTTCTTTCACGTGTTCAAAACTGTGGGTCATTCAAACAGTTTAGATATTTTCCTAAAAATATAAACCTTAGAAATGTACAGTTTGAAAAGAGAGAGAAAAAAAGAAGAAGTGAGAAAAGTATGAGAAGAAAACCTTGTGACAAAAATTCCAGAACTCTTGAGGGCCCCCTGCTGGTTTGAAGGCCCTAAGCAGGTTTAGTTTTCTATGTGAAGTCCGCTCTGGATCTGTGTGACGGTTCATACAATTTGAAAAAAATACAGAAAGCGATTTGCACTGGCTTCAATCCTACTGTATGTCTGCAATTATACTAGAGTAATACTATCCAACAGGACAGAGATAAAAATAAACCTGGAGTTAAAGTCCTGTTGCTGTACAACAGGACTATTTGCGTTTATTCACTCGGACAAGTTTTCACGTTAGTTTCACATTAAACCAGTGTACAGTTCACACTGAAAGTTGTCTGCCCTGTCTGAAAATGTCCCTGTGGCTGATCTTGACTGACAGCCTCCCCTGGAACTGCAACACTAACACGAAGCTGTTTGTGTGGCTTGTGCATGTGTTGTTGTTGTTGTTTTTTTTCCTGTGTATGTACACAGTGAGGTTTGGAAACAAAAAAGTGAAGGAGCGGTGAGGTGGAGGGGTGGGAGTCGGAGAACATCCCTTTCATCCCCGCAAGCTGAATGGATGCCAAGCGGAAGGCGACAGAGGGTCACAGATACCCCTGTGGGGCTCGCGACAGTGCTGACTATTCATGCCTCACACACTCTCAGGAATTTCTGTGATCTGAGTAACATGAGTCAAGCCTTTTTCCTCCTGTGGTCTCGTTGGTCCGTCGCTACGCGTAAAATGAAGTGCGCTTCTCCCTCTTGCAGGTGACTGCTGACTGTCCGGTGGTGTGCGAGTGCCCCGCGGTGCCCCCGTCCTGCCCCCCTGGGATCAGCTCGGTCCCCGACGGTTGCGGCTGCTGCAAGGTGTGCGCGGCGCAACTCAACCAAGACTGCCACGAGGAGCAGCCGTGCGACCACCATAAAGGACTGGAGTGCAACTACGGCAACGATGTGGGTCGCACCCATGGCATTTGCAGGGGTACGTACGTATACCACAGAGGCGGCAGGAAGGCGTTTGGGAAGGCTTTTTTTGGGCCTAGATTTTGACATAAGTAGGGGTTGACTGAGGCAATGTGTAACTTCAGGGAGGAAAATCTGACTCTCGATCCAGGCGGGCTGGAGTCTCTCTTTGATAGGGCCTCGAGGTTTGAAGACTGTGCCACTTTTCAAAAAAAAAAAAAAAAAAAACAGAGGCCCTTCATGAGCTGCGACTGAAACCTTGCCAACTCTGGGATTTATATAAGTACTTCAGTGTGTACACAAACACCCCTATGAAACACACAAGCACGCACACACTGGTATTTATATATGTGTGTTTACTGGGGGTCTGGGGAGGGTTATTCTATCTGGGATGTTTATGGGGAGTCCCATTGAGGGGAGTTACATGCCAGGACATTATAAACAACCCTAAACAACTTTCTGATCTAAGAATAGGGGTCGCTTGATAAATTTGGAAACGGTGTCTTTCAATCTGCTTCTCGTGTGCCTACGTTCAGACTCCTTTCAACTATTTTACATTTTCTCATGGCACAACCGCAAACCTCAGTGTATTTTATTGGGATTTTATGTGAAAGTAGTGCATAATTGTAAAGTGAAAGAAAAAGGACATGTGGTTTTCAAGATTTTTTTTTTTTTTTACAAATGAAAGTCTGAAAAAGGAAGGCCAAGAAATACAGCAGTCAGAAACTTGCAGCTTCAAGCGGCAAAAGGGGACTGAGCTGATTGGATGGGTCTAAATGTGGGGGGTTCATAGAACCAAACCTGCATTGTTCTATGAAAACAAAACTTATAAAAATATAAACTGCAGTTTGTTACTCTTTCAGGGAAACTGGTGGTTATTTCAAAGTACTGAATACAAGTGATGTACTATGACATAGGAGAGAAAGAAGTTTTCGCAAACCAATGTCGAGAAACATCTGTGGCAAAACGCCCTCCCTGCTTTGGCTCTTGATGTTGCAGATAGTACCTCAAAGGCTCTGTCTAATCACAGGCTGTAAAGTGCAATGTCTTCTTGAACAGGACATAACTCTCCCGTGTCAAAGTAGGCAGCAGTACAAATGCTCCTCAGTGATAAAAATGTGCTTTTTTTAATTATTTTTTTTACTTGGTTTGGTTGTTACGGATTCCCTTCATCAGCAAATCAAAGAAATTTTCTAACGGAGCAATTGCATTGCTCCGTTGACTTATCGGGCAGGCCTGTCCTTAAAAGATAAAAGATTACAACAAGTGTCAGTCCGTTGTCCATACCCTCTTACAGAAGATGTCCAAAGATACCTGTTTTATGTCTGTTCAGGTCAACCAAGACATTTATTGAGCATATAAAATGTTAAAATTAGGACTTACAGGTCCCTTCCAAATTTAGCCTAAACATATCGGTTGAAAATCAGGCTTGCTTGGGCTATTTTATCCCTTCCAACATACTGTCATCCATATATAGACATAAGTGGATGTCATCAACCCTTCATCATAAGGTGCCACAAATACACATTGTTCAAAAGGCAACATCATTTCATCAACCTCGGAGAGTCTACATATTGGGCAATCAGTGGGTGGTTCACCTAGATTTGGGCAACGGGTCTTCTGGCAGCAGCAGTAGTTCTGTCAATTTACGAGCTTATCTGTCTTCTTGTCTCTTTTCAGCCAAAGCAGATGGTCGCTCCTGCGAATACAATGGCCGAATTTATCAAAATGGCGAAAACTTCCATGCAGGGTGCAAGCACCAGTGTACCTGCATTGACGGAGCCGTAGGCTGCATGTCCCTTTGCCCCAGCCATGTGCCTCTGGCTTCTCCTTCCTGCCCAGCCCCCAAGTTAGTGAAGGTGCCAGGCCAGTGCTGTCTCAGCATCGACTGCCATAAGGGAACCACTGTTGTGCCCCCGGCGCACCGCCATCCCCCACCTCCTGCTCACCTACCGTTCCCCTTCGTCCCCTACTCGATCTATCCGTTCTCCAAGCCTTATGCGAAACCTTACCGGAAGCTGTATCCTTACAACCCCAAAAAGGAGAAAGGCGTCTTGGGGAATGAACTCTTAGAAGTGCGCCGCAAATGGGACAAACCACATGGAAATAAGGACCTGACAGGTAAGACATTGCATCACACCATCACCTCGGAGTGGCGTCTGCTTCCACTACTCAGTCCTGCATCATGTTTATGTTTTCAGCCATTTTTGCCTCTTGACGCACAGACTGCGTCAATGTGGGCCTGTTTATGTGAGGGTTGTTTTCCACTGGCCCCTTGCACACCAGAGGTGCTCTCCCCCTCTCACACAGCACATACCTCTGTCACGCAGCTCTCCCCTCTCTGTAATCACCTTCTGTATGTGTCAGTGTTGCCTGTTCCATGAATAAGGCTACTGTACCTTTCAGCCACGAATTTCTGCTTTCCCCTACTTTTCTTGATGGCCACTTTCATCCCACTATAATTTGTTGCTGATCCCACTGCTCTTTCTGTGTCAAAATGTCACAGTGGCCATTGTCCAATTGTATTCACTTGTCTTCTCTTCCATTTTTTCTAGTCTGGAGTAAGACGGGAGGTGAGTGTGTGGTTCAGACCACCTCCTGGTCACAGTGTTCCCGGACCTGTGGGATGGGGGTTTCCTCTCGCGTTACCAACGACAATGCCCGGTGTAAACTGGTCAAGGAGACACGCTTGTGCAACATTCGGCCCTGCAGCTCCATGTCTATCCCTGTGAAGGTGAGGAATGCATTTGGAGTCTCCTCTTAAAAGTCATCAAAGGTTATGTCTAGATTAAAGAAACAGCTGCTCTTATGGGGTCATTGGTGTCAGTTTTATTGCGCATGTACTGTTCATTAACTTTGAAATTTAAGAGAAGAACGTTTCATATAGGCCTAGGATATAACAACCATAGTAGATATTTTCTTTTTTCCCACATCTTTCCTTCTTTCAAGAGACTTGAGAGCAGGATACTTTAATAGTCTATCACAGTGACATACAGGACACGCATCGTGCACATGCCAAATCTAGGGGTATTTTGCAGGGACAAATTGATTTCAGGTGGTGCAAGGAAAAAGGAGTGTCCTGAATAAAATCACTCCACATAGTGAGACCATACAAAAGATTCCTTGGGCTTTATTTTCAACAGTCATTCAACCTAATTTGATATAAACTTTAGAGCTTCTCTGTTGTGAAACACCAACTGCATCTGTTGAATGTTGTGAAATCTCTTGAGCTCTGGAACTGACTGACAGCTGCCCTAGTAATTTGGAGCTTGCGGTTTCGCCCACTGTGTTGCTGTCTCGCGCTTTGTACACAGCGCTATCCGGACCCATTACGTCTCCGGCAACAGCCCCCTTCTGAGCCCGATGGGCTGCTGCACACCTGTTTTCACTGAACTCTCCGGGCTTTTGTGGAGCTGCCGTGGGAGTTAGCGTGTACCAGTGTCAACCCTTAACCATTGCTGGCATGCTAATCTCTCTTGGCAATAATCTGTTGTTCTGACCTTGATTTTGTTTTTGCACATCTTTGCAGTTAACTGCCTTAACCTTGTTTTTCATGCTTTTCTGCAGCGATATGACTAATGAGTGATGTAACGCCAAAAAAATATGAATCTTTTATCTCCTTTTCTGGTGTAAATGCGAACAATAACGGATAGCTTCCTTTGGTAGGACTCTTAAAATAATTCAATCGATCAAGATTATCACAATTCTCAACAAAAATTAGACCAATTCCACAATTGAAGGGGTTTTCAAACCTGGCAGTCCAGTAGACTCAGGTTGTTTGAGGACCAAATTTGCAACATTTGCCACATTTTCAGCTGCTATGATTCTCTTTTACATTGCACTGTGTCAAACAAACAAACCAAATCCCTATTTACTCCCTTGCCTGTGGTGGCGCTGCACCAAGAACTACTAAAAAAATGCAACATAAAAACCACAGAAGACATGACTACAACTTCCTCCTTTTGCAAAATGTATACAAAAATGGAGTAGCATCAGATTTTAGATTTCTCTTTTGTCTTTGGTAAAAGACCACTAGCCACTTCCCCCTCTAGCTGTAGACACGACTGTTTGTTTTGGTTGCATTAACCCACAATGCCCTCCGCTTGGCATCCACATATGCATTCAAACCATCCGAGAATTCACTTTTAATAAACTGACACCTCGGTTTTTAGGCAGACCAGAGTTCACTTTTTTGGTCGGTTGCACACTCACATCTCCTCAAACAAACCGGACTTTCTAAGCTAATGAACTAGTGTTTGATTAAAGCAGATTATACAGGGCTGGTGTGAATGCATCTTAAAGTGGCTTTGGATCAGAAGGAAGTATAGCATTCTGGTAATCAATTTTTTGAAGGCTGGCGTTGCATTAGACTGCCACAAATGTCATGTTTACATCCATCCTGGCTTTTCTTGTTTGTGTTCAGTAGTTACTTTATTCCCTCTGGCATAAGGTTTACTTTTTATTCTTTGCAAAAAGAAAAGTTCTAATGTGTCCCAGCATCAGGAGAACTGTGCTTCACTGAATATCAAATTACTCATTTCATGGACATAGAATCTCAGTCTTGCTAACCTTAGGCTTTGAAGGGTACCTAACTTAACTCCTCTTTCCCAATCCACAGAAAGGAAGGAAGTGCTCGCGTACGCACAAGGCCCCAGAGCCGCATCGCTTGTCCTACGCCGGCTGCAGGAGCACTCGCTTGTACAGGCCCAACTACTGCGGCGTGTGCAGGGACGGCCGCTGCTGCTCCCCTCGCCGCACGCGCACGGCCAGCGTGACCTTCGCCTGCCCCGACGGGGACCTTTTCAGTAGATCAGTCATGTTCATCCAGTCCTGCAAGTGCAGCGACGAGTGCAACCATCTGAACGAGGCGGCGATGCCCCCACAACTCTGGCTCTACGGAGACGTTCACAAATTCAAGGACTAGTTGTTGTTGCCGCCGCCTCGCCTGCATTCCTGCATAAAAGTGTAAATTGCCCACCCATTAGTGATACTTTTAATAGAGCAGCTGTTCCTAGTGTAGCTATTGAATAGATGCAGGCAATGATCACAGATGAGATTTTTTTTCTTTTCTGGAGGAAAATTTTCTGCCTTTTCTCGGAATGTTTCATGAACTGCGGTACTTCAGCCAAGGAGAAAAGGAGCAAGCGTGGGGACAAACTCTTCAGGATGACCATCATTTCTTGCTACTCTAGATGTTGCTAACTTATAGAAAACTGGTTTTATGTTTGCAATTGCAAAAGGTTGCGGTTTGTCTCGCAATGGTATTTATTCCTTGATATTTATTCAAGAGACAGACATGTTGAAACTTTGGCATGCCACTGGGATAAGAGACTTTTCTTGGAGCCTCTCTGTGGCTGAAATCCACGGACGGCTATCGGTCACAAGCGGGGAGAGGCAGACTGGTCCATTACGGTCAGAAACCAGCATCCAAAGGCTGATGACCAAGAATGGCAGAGGGAGAAGGGCAAAAAAAAAAAAAAAGACAAGCTAAACCCGAATGGTTTAGGATTCGTACACATTCCGAGGAAATATTTCAAAGGTTGTTTATACAGCTGGACTCATCTCCTGCCTTTGCCTTCACGAGAAACTGAGACATTTAGCAAGCACCAGAAGAACAAGCCTGGGATTCTGGCGTCGAGCAGTCGACCACCTAATTCTGTGCAAATTACAATCTTTGAGGTAAAAATCAGCCCCTCTCTGGTTTTTCTGCTATAAAAATAAAATCTAAAAGCTGCGTGTGTGATGAGGTAAACATGCAATTTGTGGAACCGCGCTACTGCCTAATCTGGCCTGTAATTGAGCGGCACGCAATGTGACTGAAACAAAACAAGAAGCCGTGTCTTTTCATGTTAAAGAGGTGTCTGTTTCCTCAAACTGCTGACTTTGCAGTCGAGTCAGAAATAAGTTTTCCGTTGGGTGCAAAGCCTCGGAACTGTAAGGACTCTCAAAGAGAGGCTGATTCTAGGTAGGCACTGTGTATTCTTTGATTTATATACGACTGGGAAACAAAAGCATCTCCCTTAACTGTCGCTTGGATTAGTTTGTGCACCTTATGTCGACTTTTATACAGTATCTCAGTGTCAAGTGTGAGTACTCGGCAGACATGTCCAAGTCATTCTCTTGTACCACTGCAGGTGTAGTTTTTTTGTTTTTTTTAAATCCTTGCTATGTGCCCATGTAGATGCTGTGGTTTTGTCATTTTGACTAGTTCCAAGGGACACTGTAGAGCAGCTATGTACAGATGAATTTGTAACTTCGTAGTTCTACCTGCTGTATAAGGGCCCGTTATTCTGTTGAGTTAGTTCATGTGTGGTTCAAACACTGAACTCTGACCCTGGGTTCAGGTTCCCGAAGAGAACGCCATACCAAGTTGAGAGCATTTCAAGAAAAAAAAAAGACTGAAGGTGTACTGCTTTTTATATCGTGGAAGGAGCGTTTACCCAATGATTGGTTTGGAAGTGATGACTTTTCAAAAAAAGATTTTACAAATAAAGAAACTTTTACCCCTGTTCTGGGTGCACCTTTTTCCTACCACACTTTTTCCTTCCACTTAACATTCTACAAATATGCTTGGCTGTAGCACCCTTCTCCATAACCGTCCTACTCACCTTGACTCAGAACCCTAGAGGCTCACGCAACCTTGGCAGATGTTTCCAATATTTTACCACAACGTTTCTCAGTACTTTTTGAGATATGAACTCTTGGTTTTTCATTATCCTTAACCAAAATCACCCAATTTACATCCCCAAGGCATAAAATATTTTACTCCATGTAAAATTCTAGTTCCCTCTTCCTTTTGAACCTTTTCTGAGCTGTAATTGTAAGTTAAATACTAGCTACAGCATGATACGGCCCATAATTTCACACGCTTTTCTGGTTGGTGTACCAGCATCAACGTAAAAAAAAGTGTCAGACTCACTGAACAGAATAAATAAAAAAAGAAGCTTTAATTTCTATAAAATGTAAGAAGATGGTCTTCTATTTAAACTGCATTAGCTATTGTTCTGCACTGTTGGTTGAAATGTTTTTTTTTTTTCCTATTTCTAGTCATGATGTGAAAACTACAAATACCATTATTTTCTAATAAGGTAATTTCTTTAAAGAGGTAGTATCAGGTTAAATCGACTTCTGTGCATGTTTGAGATGTCCTTTAATCTCCCACGACAACCGTTCAGGGGTGCTAAACACCTGGATGATGAAGCACCGTCTCCAAGCTTCCACCCCAATTTCAAGACATCAAACTACAAGTCAAATTTCTTCAATTATATTTGATATATATGGAATTTTTTTCATTATATATATATATATATATATATATATATATATATATATAACTGAAGTTACTTGTTTGTGTTGCAAAATTATATGAGGCTGGAAAACAAATACTGCCCCTTTAAAATCTACATAGAGCAATTCAGTTTAAAACCTCAATTATAAAAACAAATATTATAATTCATATTCAAGATTCTAGTTGTTGTAGATGGTTGTGGGTAAAAAGGATCTCCTGTAGCCATCTGTGTTACAGTGGGGCTGAAGAAGCCTCTGACTGAAGATTCTCATAAAGCAGATGCTTTATCCATAAGCTTGGTTTTATTCAACTTTTCTTTGCACTACCATCAATATTTGAGGTTTATTCAATTATTTTTTATTTGAATTAAGCAACTAACATTAGCTTGCTCTGCTTTTGTCACTTCAAAGAATAGGTACAAAACATAGCACAATGAGCACTGAAGTGGGTTTTTCTGTGGCTATTTACCAACTATGACTCAATCTGCTTCGATATTGTAGCCGAAGTAGAAACTTGTTTTGCACAAAAAATGTTTAAAAATGTTTTATATTTTCCTATCAGTACTGCTAGAATATCACTCCACTTCTTACCAAGACCATTCCCAGCTGCTAGCATGGTTGATATGTCAGTTTCAATTTATTTTTATGTTTACACAGCAAAATACTAGGACATACATAGTGAGAATCAGTTTTTTTGGGGGTACAGTGTCGAAACTTTGCCAAAATCTGCCGTTTCACCACTAGGATTCTACTTGTTGACTTAATATATAGAAGGCAGTCCATTTGAAAGTTGTAGAAAGAACTGCCACACGAGCCAAATCAGTTTGTTTAATCAAATCTAAAGACTGCTGACCTTTAGCATTGAAGATATAAAACCCTACAATACAAATCTAGGCTTTGGAAAAAGCAAAGAAACAAAAAGAAAAGAAAAAAAAAAAAAAAAAAAAAGACAGCTCCAAGTTACTTCTCAAGTCTATTAGGTTTACCTTAACAGCGCAATAAAACAATGCAGAGACAACAGTCTTAATGAGAGAGCACAACAATAAAAATGGCATTTTATAAAAAGTTTTAATTGAGGCAAAACAAAACAAAATAAAAGAAACCATAAAAGAAATTAAAATCAAAACCCCCCGCCCCACAAACTGACAATAAAAATAAAGGTTTTTGTGAACAAACGTGCAGAGCTTTCAAATCAACAACGAAGTACGTCTACTTCCAAATAAAAAGACTGGATCCACGAAGAGGAGACTTCTGTTGGTCTGGAGGGGTGGGGGCTCATCTGGACTGCTCGACTGGACGGGGGGCAAAGGAGAGACGCATCAAACGTCTGCAGACGTCTAACATGCAATAAACACCTTTAAGCTGAGCTGCGGTGAGAACTTACTGTAAGAGGAGATGTCGATCTCGTCCGGCAGCTCGGCCACGTTGACTTCAAAGCGGTCCTGCACGTCGTTCAGGATCTTGGCGTCAGTCTCGTCCGACACGAAGGTTATGGCCAGGCCTTTGGTTCCGAACCGACCGGCACGGGCGACCTGATTGTTAAATCCAAGAAAACCCCTTAAGTATGCTCCCAAAAAAAAAAAACAAACAGAAAATAAATTCCTGGGATGTTTCAAAATGGTAGAGGGAGAAACAGAGGAAGGAAAGCCAGCTTCTCACCCTGTGCAAGTAGGTGTCTGAGTCTTCAGGCATGTCGTAGTTGAAGACGATGTTCACCCTCTCGATGTCCATCCCTCGGCCAAACAGGTTGGTTGCCACCAAGATCCGTCTCTGGAAGTCCTTGAACTGCTGGTAGCGAGAGAGTCTGCGAGGAGAGCAGCAACAAAAGCGTCACCGTCTTGCTTAGATCAGGGCTGCAACTAATGACTAATGTCCTCATTATTTTATCGGATTTAAAAATATACACACATTTTGCTGATTTTTCATTTAACCACTTGCACCTTTTTTTTTTTTTTTTTTTTTTAAAGGGCATTTGAATTATATGTAAAAAAATAAATTACTTTTTTAATAAGAAAACAGGATACTGCTACCTAAAATGCAACAGCAGCATTCTTTTAAAGAATGCTTCAATTTCCAACAAAGGATGCATATGGAGTTAAAAAAATAAATACTGTCTACTTTTGGATTAATAATTGGATTAAAAAAATGTATATCAAACATAAAACCAAAATTTGAACCAGCTGTTAAAACAATTCAGTTGTATTTGCAGATAAAGGTGATTCTTCCCCATCATCTTAAATGCAAAATATCTGTTCTTTGTACAGTTCTGCCTTCCTACTGTGTTGTTCCTTCACCAGTTCGCCGTTCTTGGGTTTGTTTTCTCCAGTTAACAATGAACCGATTACTAAACTGGTTGACGATTTTAATTATGTTTAATCCAATAAATCACCACACAATCAAGATTAAGTCAATTACCCGTTTCATAGTCGGGTTAAATTAAGAAGCATTCTGCTCCCAGGAACACATTTAGCTGGTCCAGGCTTGTGTGTTTGTCAGTGTGTGAGCAGAGCGCTGAGCTTTCTGGGGGGTCTCACCTTTCCTCCTGAACCATTGCTCTGTGGATGGCGATGGCGGGGAAGTTCTGCTCCACCAGCAGCTGAGACAGAGCGATGCAGCGCTGCACGGACTTGACAAAGATCACCACCTAGAGGCAGAGCGTTGGAACTTAGAGGCGTGACACCAGGCTACAAACATGGGCAGGTTTAAATGCAAATATTTTTGAAAGCCATCAATTTCCTGTGTCGCTTATTTCTGGAAATGAAACACGGAATTTTAGACTTATGACAGAGTGAAATATTTCAAGCCTTTATGGCTAACATATAATGAAAACCCAAATTGCAGTGTCAGAAAATTACAAAATTGCTTAAGCTAATTTACAGCACTCTGAATAACCAGCTTTTGCAGCAAAGACCTTTTGTCACATATCCTCCTTTTGGAGGGTGTCAAGGACGTCTGCCCAGTCGGCCATCTTGGTCCTGACTGCATCCTACTGATCCACACTGAGATCATCTAAAGGCTCAGGAAACATTTACATGTCAATGAGTTTCCAATATAGGTCTGATATCCTGAATTAGGAGTTTTCATTATCAATTAAAGAAAAACAAGAATTGAAATGTTTTCGCTTTCTGTAACAAATCTATATTGAATTTCAGAAAGTTTAACTTTCATTCTGAAACAAGTGACAAAACAAAAAAACAAAACAAAACAAAAAAACCTGAACCTTTCCACTATATTTTAGTGTTTGTTGCTGTTTAACTTGAGGAGCTCTATGACGACGTCGTGTCAAAAAGTGTCTGGCCCGTAGATTTACCTGGTTGAACTCCAAGACGTCCAGCAGGTCAAAGAGCTTGCGGTTTTTCTCGCTGTCCTTCAGTTTACAGTAGTACTGCTGCAGACCGTGCAGCGTAAGTTTGGTCTCGTCGTCCACAAACACCTCCATCGGCTGCAGGAAAAACATGAATGCAAAATGAAATGACAAAAACAGCAACCTCTGGTGAATTTACTCCTTTTATTTGTGTTTTACTTTTCCTATATCGCAGTTTGCTGCACCGCATTTAATTTAGGCGATTTATCACATTGTGTCGTAATTCTTGCTTCCTATACGCAAGAATTCATTACAGACTCCAACACAGATTTGTCTATTTAGTTCTAAACCAAATATATGTCCACCAAAAATGTTCAAACATTTGCTAAAAAAAAAACACATCTGAAAATGATTGTGCTCATTTTAATACATCATGCGATTAATCAATAAACTACTACTTATTGGGACAGGCTGAAGTAAACCTAATACTGCAAACTTGACAGAATGCGAAAAAGTTTGGAGTTTCTCTTACGTCCTGCATGAATTTGCGGCAGACCGGCCGGATCTCCTTACTCAGCGTAGCGCTGAACATCATGACCTGCTTCTCGTGGGGGGTGATCCTGAAGATGTCCTGCACGTCGCGCCTCATGTCTGCAGGGGGGACAAAAAAAGAAAACCATAAACACACTCTGCTTTAGCTTCAGACGACCGGCGAGAAAAGGGAAGACGTACCGAGCGCCTCCAGCATCTTGTCGCACTCGTCCAGGACGAAATGCTTGACGTTCTTCAGACTCAGGGTCTTGTTGCGGATCAGAGCCAGGGTCCGCCCGGGGGTCCCGACCACGATGTGAGGGCAGTTCTTCTTAAGGGTGTCCTCGTCCTTCTTGATGGCCAGGCCGCCGAAGAACACGGCACACT